AAAAAATGAATCTGGAAACATAGTTCCAGATTTTAATTCATACTAATTTTCACTTTTAAGGTATTTATTGTTGCACAAGCAATAGGTTTTTAACGAAACAAAACACATTTACAAATCACCCTACCCAAAAATATGGTTTATTTAAAAAAAAAAACTATGCATCCTTCTGTCTTAAAACTAATTGAGTCTAATTATCTGGTATTTTTTTTTTATAGGCAAAACATTTTTGAAGTGTTAGACTACATTTTTAATACCTTATTTCTGAAGTTTAAGATTTTCGTTGAAAATTTCTCATTAAATGAATGCACCATTTTGGGTAAAAAACAAACTTAAGAATTTGCCTCGTAAGCTTATAATAAAACTTTAGAGAGCTGTTTTAACCACCTATAAGAAACAGAAAAAAACAACTTATACCTAAAGAATTTCTTCTGAAAAACTTATAAGTATTGATTAGACCCAAATAACCCCTTAGATCAACATTAACCTAGTTGTTACAAATAAAAATATAAAAAAACGCCTACAAATGTTTTCTACAAAAAATTTGTTTTTATAACTAAATATTGGGCTATCTTTAACTAGCTTAAAATTTAAAACATAAAAAATAACAATATATATATATATATATATATATATATATATATATATATATATATATATATATATATATATATATATATATATATATATATATATATATATATATATATATATAAATATGTATATATATGTATATATATATATATATATATATATATATATATATTATATATATATATATATGTATATAAATATATATATACATATATATATATATATATATATATTTATATATATATATTTTTATATATATATATACATATATATATATATATATATATATATATATATATATATATATATATATATATATATATATATATATATATATATATATATATATAATACTTGACATACTTCCCCCCAATGTTTTTATACTCTTATTCGCTGGTATACCACAACCAATATTGGTACAAGCTGCCACAGAACAGTTGTAGTAGGTATCTGGAACAAGATCATTTACTGTTACATTAAAAGTGTTATTGCCAACTTTGTTTGAAATACTATTTTCAGTACTGTAACAAATATATAAATACATAGTTATAATCCCTTTCCTCAATGAATATTCCACTTTATCCCAAGACAACAACAAAGCAGTAGAACTTATTATTGCAACAGTTAAATTACTCGGACTACCAGTTGGAACTAAAAATTGATTTAATATAAAAATAATGTTATAAAGAAATAGTCAGATAGTCATAAAAATTGTTAACAGAATAAGATTATTTGATATATACTATTGATATATATGTATATATATATATATATATATATATATATATATATATATATATATATATATATATATATATATATATATATATATATATATATATATATACATCAACCATTCTTGAAAACAGTAATAAAATAAAAACTGACTTAAAATATAAAAAAACCAATACTCCATGATTTCTTAAATCAAAACAGCCATCATAAAGAACATTCCGTATAATCTTTATTAAAAAATAATTCTTTTCACCTCTAATAACAGTAAAGAAAAAGAATTTTTTTGAAATCAAAGTTAGTAAACAAGGTTAATATTTTATTGAACAAAATAAAAAAATTCTGCTTTATCAAAATACTTATATGTTATTCAATATTATAAAGATATAATATATAATGATGCATGTGGCAGTGTACTTTAGTTTTTAAAATTATATAAATAATAGATTTCATACTAATTAAAAACAAAATGGGATGAATTTATAATAAATCATTTATGAATGTGATACACTGCATTTGCTTCTCAAGAGAGAGAATACTTTGGTGCCTAGAAATGTTAAAACACACTAAGTTCTAAAACCAACATGTCTGGTATTACTGTACTTAACTTGTTTTCCTACACTGCTGCCTAATTCATCAAGATTTCAGCAATTATATAAATAGCCACCTTGATTAAAGTGGTCCCTGTAGCTATTAATACCTCTAATGTAATAATTTTTTTTTTGAAACAAAGATAAAAGAAAGTTAGGTATAGCAAGTATCCAATAATTTTGTCCTAATAAGTAGTTTTGTCACAAATAAAAAGAGTTTCAATTTGTAACATTTGTCGTGGATCCTGCTAATGATAATGCAAATTTAATTTAAATATTCAAATTAAAGAAAATACAGTGGAGAAAATAAAACTAGCCTCAACATATACTGATTCAATATTTTCTAAATCTGTAAGCAAGTTTGTGCAGTGCATCTTTTGCATCCACACACATACAATTATTGTTTCAAATAATAACTTTTTAGATTATAATATACGATAATTAAATTGCGGTACATTTGAAAAATAATATTTGATACTTGAGGTAACAAATAGAATTAGCCTCATCAATAATTATTTTCAGTTTACTTGTATATTCTGATATGGTGATATGCATTTGTGACTTTTATTATTGTTTGTAAGTTAAACAAAGACTGTTAAACCAGTGCTCAGAAAGTATTTAACAATTGGTTTTTGATACCTTAATTTGAAATGGGACTTGGTAAGCATTTAACGAATGAAGAATTAGCAGTAATCAAACCATACAAACATACATGCTTATCTAATCGGGAAATTGCAAAGAAAATTAAAAGATCTACATAAGTGGTTAATAGTTACTTCAAGATTAGCGTTAATTATGGAGCTTATAAGAAAAGTGGTAGCAAACGTTAAATTGATAATCGCACTAAGCGAGTTATTGTACGCCGTGCTGCTGCTCAGCACATGACTGCATCTCAAATGTGCTGATTTACAATTACCTGTATCTATTTAACGTGTGAGACAAATCTTACATGTAGATCCAAACATAGTTTGGAAAAAGCGTACACCAAAACCAAAACTTACCGTCAACCGGGGTAACTTCGGACTGCAGTGTAACTCCGGACAGAGCGTTTTTTTTTCTTTTTTACTGTATCTTGTAGTAATGCCGCGAACCTGCAAATGTAAGCAAAACTTAACATTGTTGAGTGGAAAAAGCTCCAAAGAAAATCTTCAAAAATCATTAATAGATTATGGTAAAGGCATGAGTATTCGGAAGGTTGCAGATAAGCATAATGTTAAAAAATCCACATTATATGATCACATTAGAAGCACTAAATTAAAGAAGGTTGGAAGGCCTACAATTTAAGCATTGCAGATGAAGTACTCATTGCTCAAATGATAGAAGCAGTTGCTGATTGGGGCTTTCCTATTGGAAGATTAGAAGTTAGAATGATGGCATTCGATTTCCTCAAAAATTGTAATGGGTTAAACAATTCCAAGTTTAAGATGTCTAGAGATGACTGGTTAAATTCATTTATAAAACGAAATAAAATTACTGGCCGAAATGCTTCTAATATTAAACGTTTAAGATCAAAATTAGGAGTTGAAATTATAACAGATTTCCTTGATGAACTTGAAAAAACTTATGAATTATTTGGTGATATTCCACTTTCAAATATATTTAATTTCGACTAAACAAATCTTTCAGATGATCCTGGAAAAAAGGTTGTTTTAGTTTGAAGAGGAAGACGACGTGTTGAAAATATCCAAGAACATAGTAAAACTTCGATATCTATTATGTGGTGTGGCTCTGCTTCTGGAGTAATGCAACCCCCTATGATAGTTTACAAAGCATTGAATGTATATCAAGGTTGGGTGACAGGAGGGCCACCCGGAACAGCCTACAGATGTGCAAAAACAGGTTGGTTTGATATGAAAACCTTCGAGAAATGGTTTAAAACATGCTTCTAGCCAAACGTTCAGCATTTAAATGGGCCCAAACTACTTTTAGGAGATAATTTAGCCTCTCATTTTAATGCAGACGTTATAAAACTAGCCAAGGAGCATAATGTTTACTTTGTTATGTTGCCACCAAATGGCACACATATAATGCAGCCATTAGATGTATCTGTCTATGGTCCTATAAAGCGTTGTTGGAGGCAAGTATTCGTTGGATGGAAAAACGAAGCAAAAAATATGGATGTTTTCCTAAAGAACATTTTCCAGGTTTATTGAAAAGTTTATCTTTTAAGTTGCCAGACACTATATGTCAAAATTTTTTTTTTTTTTTTTTCTTTGCCGTTTGATAAAATTTACAATAAGAAAGATCGTACATATATAATATATGATCGGAGCAAGAAGAAGACGTATATTGTCTTATCGCCAAGCCCCGCTTACATTGTTGCCTTCAGTTTATGTAAAAAGTTAAAAATTACAAAATACAACACAATATATTACAAGTAGTAAATCGTATAATAAGATATATAAATAAACATTTTTTTAAGTTCCTAATAGAAAACGTTTAGATTCTTTTTTGAATTGTTCTAGGAAAAAGTTTAGAAGAGTTTTATTTTTAATAATATTTTTCGAAAAACTTTTCCATATAAAAGGTCCACGGTATTGAATTTGAAATGAGCTGAGTTTTAAATAAAATCTTGGAATAACAAACATATCAACTGAAAATTTTGTGGGGTATTAATGAGTAATTTCAGTGAAGTAAGAGTGAAATATATTAGAAGACAAACCATGTTTTGATTTAAACATTAGAAGCATAACTTGGTATATATTAATTTTAAAAACATTAAGTGCATTAAGTTCGCTTAGAAGAGATTCACCATTAACAGTTCTGTTAACGCTAAATAAAATCCTACATGCATGTTTTTATTTGCTATAGATTTTTTTAAGTTTTCCATAATTAGTACTTCCCCGTACAATATTGCAATAAGAAAGATAACTATGAATAAATGAAAAATATATAATTTTTAAAGACTCAATATTATGAAATGGTTTATTTTATATAACATTGAAATATTTTCAGAGATTTTGTTTTCAATAGATTTAATATGATATTTCCATGATAAATTTTCATCTATAATCACTCCTAGAAAGTTAACAGTTAACTCTCTTTTAATAATTGTTTTATTCATAAAGAGATTGTGTAATTTTAAAGAAAGGCTATCTCCCCTACGAGGTTTGTGGAACAAGATAGATTTAGTTTTCTCACCATTTAATGAAAGTTTATTATTTGTAATCCAGTCATTTATTTTTAATAATACTTCGTTAGATATTCTAAACAGTTCTTTTATATTATTGTGTGAGTAAAAAAAAATTCGAATCATCTGGAAACAAAATGACATTTAAAACTTTGGATGCTAAGTATAAATCATTAATAGAGGGTAGGAATAAGAGCGGCTCTAGGATTGATCCCTGGGGAAGTTCACCACAAGTTATAATATGATTTTCAGTTTCATTTGCTGTAAATAATACGCATTGTTTTCTGTTTGACAGGTAACTTTTAAACCATAGTAAGTTATTATTAAGTATTCCATACAGTTCTAGTTTTTTTAAAAGAATATCGTGGTTTACAGTGTCAAATGCTTTTGACAAATCAATAAAAACTCCTAATGCATAGCAATCATTATTGAACCCATTGGATATATAATTTATTAGATCGACGACCGCATGATCAGTTGAATGATTCTTTTTGAACCCAAATTGTTTGTTATACATTATATTGTTCTCAGTTAAATAAGTATTAAGTCTATCATACATAATTCGTTCTAACAATTTTGAGAAACATGGTAAGACAAAAAAAGGTCTATAATTAGTCATAATCGTGTCATCGCCAGATTTAAAAATAGGTATGATCTTAGCAATTTTAAATTTCTCCGGTATAAAACCGGATTCTAGTGAAAGGTTAAAAATGTAAAACAGTGACGGTTCAATAATATCAAACACTGCTTTAACAACATTCACGTTAATATTATCTATGCCAGCGCATTTATTACTTTTTAGACAGCTGAATGCATTTCGCAACTCATTTATGTTTAACTTTACTTCTTTCATAGATGTATTGATTGATTTCATATAAGATTCAAAGTTTGAGGTGTTTTTTGAAATTTTATCAGCTAAAGTAGGGGCAATATCAATAAAAAATTTATTGAGCTTTTTAACTATGATTTCTTTATTATAAATCATTTCCCGTTAACTTATAGTTTTTGTGGCAAATTTTTTTTTTGAATATTTATTTTTACCGATTATCTGCTTAATCACGTTCCACGTCTTTTGAGTGTTTCCGCGTGTTTTTTCTAACAACCTTGAGTAATAATATTTTTTTGCATTTTTTCTTTGTTTTTTCAAACGTGTTTTTATAATTTTTGTATTTTTTTCATTTTTATATGTTTTATGTTTTAAATATTTTTCATTAAGTCTTTGTTTTCTCTTTGATGATTTGTATAAACCTTTGGTCATCCAAGGGCTTAGAGGTGAATTAGGATTTACAACTTTTTTTTGTACTGAAAATGCTAAATCATAGTGTTTACAAAACTGCGCCAAAAATAGTTCATACGCATAATTCGCGTCTTGTGATTGTAATACAAGGTTCCAATCAGTTTTTTCAGATAAAAGACTTCGAAAGTATAATAAAAACTTTCATTGATTTGTCGTATTAAGATTGTTGATTTAGAGACGGAACGGCTAAGGGTTATATTATCTGTAACTAAGAATATTGATCAGTTATGTCGATTTTGATTATACCCGATTCTAAGAAGCAATCATGAAAATTATTAGTGAATATATTATTTAATAATGTCGACGTGGTCTTAGTTATTCTCGTTGACTTATTTATTGTGGGAATTATATCGTGCTGAAGAAGTGTATCTAAAAAACATTGAACATTTAAATTTGAAGCATGATTTAACAAGTTCAAATTACAATCACCAGTTAAGTTCACGTGTTTCTTTGTAATGTTAACTTTGCTTAAGAAATTTTTCAATATTCATTATTAGTAAATTAAAGGTAACATTTTTTAAACTAACCTTCAGTTACTCAAGAAATATCATCGTAGAAATTCCATAATGATGTCATCTAGACCGTGTATTAGTACTAGTAAAAGAGTTTCTTTAAAAGAACAACAACAAACAAACAAAACAAAACATTTTAAATTCAAACAATGCTATATACAGCCAGTATTAGAGTTACAGGAAGAAAAAGTATAAAATTTATAAAGCAAGAAAACAGATTAACAGACTACTTGCAAGAATGCAAATTATATGAATCAGAAAAACAAGATAAAGGAAGCAAATTCCGAAAATGTGACGTTGGAGGAAAAAAAAAAGTAGAACATTCACCGTAAAAGAATGAGACTTAATTAAATGACTAATAACACAAGAATGAATTTTAGTAAACTAGAGACCCTAGCTCTTTAAAGCAATACCCATTATAATACTTGTAGATAAGAGAATAAGAAGCAACACGAAAATGTGACAATGATTGAACATTGCTTGAAAGAAATATATGTTTACAATGCATTTTTGCACTCTGTCTAAAAGAGAAAGCGCTTCATTAGAAGATCTGCTTTAGATATGGCAACAGCAGTCCATACAGGGTCGAATTAAAGATTTATAGAGGAAATTAATAGAACCCGGAGTAAGAAAGTGGTAAGCACAATAAAGAAATGCAACTTTAGCAAATGCTAATTTCAAAATGGATTTCATATATGGTTCCCAAGAAAGATTGAAAGTAAAAGTTAGCCTTACAAGATAAAGGTTAGATGGCTCAACAATTATATTACCGAGCCTCACGCTGTAACAAATTTGAGATCCTTTTCAAGATCAAAGGCCCTCTCTAAGCAATCAGAGAGTGTTAGCTTTTTATCAAGACAAGAAAAAATGGTAGCATCGTTAGTGAACCATGCCACCATAGATGTGAGAATTTCTAGAATATCGTTAATGTAATAAGGCCAAGGATAGAACCTTGAGGAATCCCTAAAAATACAGGTAAAACTGTGCTGTCAATAAAGGACAACTTTTATACTAGAATTGGTAAGGAAAGATTCAATAATCTCAAAGATGTTACCTGATACACCATAAGAGAGCCTTATGGAGAAAGCCAGAATTCTAAACTTTTTCAAAAATTTTAGAAATGTCAAGAGCAGTAGCCCTGATCGCTCCACATCTATCTAATGCACGATAATGTTAATTATGTTAACAAATTAGCAATAGAAAAGAAGATCGAAATCCATATTGATGATCAGATATTGTTAAATTCAAGATGAGAGATAAAGTATTTGGTAATTAAAAACTCAAAAACCTTGCTTATGATAGTAAGTAGACTAATGGGATGGTATAAGAGTCAGATCGCTCTCCAGAATATTTGAAAATAGATGCCACTTTCCAACATGGTTGAAAAGACCCTAATAAGCACTTGTTAAATGTAAAATTTAGAAGTATAGCCAACAATTCAGGAAGACACTTGTGCAAGACTATAACAGGTATATTGTCTGGACCACAAGCTGTGGAAGAGTCTAAGAAAATAAAGAGACCCTTATAAAATAATCATAACTTACACCCTCAAAACATAATAATAACTTACACACTCATAACATAATCATAACTTACAGAGAATAAAAGATTATTCAATGCAATTTAAAACCTGTCAATAATTTTAAATTTAGTCTAAGATAGCGTCAAATAACAAAATAAAAATGGTAAAATGTACTCTATTCAAAAACAAAGGAAGGTCCTTAGAAAGTTAAAAATGGGTAGAATAAAAGCTGAAGTCCTTCTTAAAGCAGTTTTTGTTGATAAAAACTAGCCACTTGGTCTTGAGTTGTATATTTCACCAGACTACTGCTTAATTTTTGATATTCATTGTCATAGTTTCAAAAAAATGTTTACGGATGAGACTCCCTCAGATTTTTTGAAAACAAAGAACTCCAAAACTATTAAAATCTGTCAAAGTTGCAAACAACTTATCAGAACTCACCGCCAAATTGTATATCTATTGATCATAGTTAAAGACATTTATTTCTCAAAATAAAAAATATATTTTCTTGTTCTTAAAAATAAACTGAAGGGTAGGATATTTATTTCTTAAAACAAGAAACGTATCTATTATTTTAAGAAAAACATTTTGTAATAAAAAATTCAATTTTGCTTTGCTTGCAGTCAAATTTATTTATGATAATTTAGAGCGTATAATGAGTTTGGAGAAGCTTCAGAAGCTACATTAAACAAAGAGTTCTTGAAAACAGAATTAAAAAGAAGAATAGTGGATTCAAGGAGCTAGCTATGGTGACTGCTTTCTTGTTATTGAATGGTTCAAACTACTTGAATTTTGATCTGATATCTAACTACAAACTCTGAACCTTAAAAGTTTATTTAAAAAATATTTATTTACATATTTTCTTGAGATATTTGTCTTAAGCTGCAATTTATATGTATATAAATATTTATTATACATTTGCAACTTTTAAACACTGAATTTTGAAGCAAATTTGCTTTAGAAACAAGAGGTCTGTAGCAGTGACGAATCCATCATTTTTGAATGTTTGAGATTGCTAATATGGAGCAAAATTTAAACACTTGTATGTTTATTCTTATGTCAAACAATTAAGTTTTATTAAAATGTTGCAATGATTGGAAGCTGGAACAAAAGGCCCTAAAATTTTATTTCCCTGCCCCAAACTTTAGAGAAACAAGATTAAGAAATAGTTTTTTTGCTATTCTTAAATAAACTTATATTTATTGATAAACTTTAAGTTTTACAATCTCTAAGCGCTCAAAAGTTATGAGCATATAAAGTTTGTAGCCCTATCGAATTGAGGGGGTTTAAACTTTATATGGCAATAATTTATGAACGTTGAGAGATAATACTATAAAACTTAAAATTTATCGATGAATATAAACTTAGTTAAGAATAGCAAAAAAAATTATTAAACCAATTTGTTGCTTTTGCTTTTGGCACAGAAGTGACAAAATTTCAGGTTTATTTTTGTTTCCAGCCTCTAGTCATTGCAATTTTTTGTAAACATTGTTTGATCCAAGGCTCAAGTAGCAGAACAAATTAAAAAAAATAAAAAATATTATTTAATACTAAAATTAATTAAAAATCATAAAGTTTGTTGTATGACTAGATAAAAGCGTTAATTCATCTATCATAATCAGTGAAAAATACATACAACTTATTACTTAAATTTATAATCATTTTTTTGGTACAGGAATTTGGTACAGTATTTTTTTGGTACAGGAACACAATAAGAAAATACTGTTGAACAAAGTAACTGGATTTGACATCAGAATCTATTCGCGCCAATGCTTGAAAATTGCTCTAAATTTAATCAAAAATTCAGCTCGAATACTTCTATCAAGAAAAAATAAAAAATATAAAAATTTTTATCGCAATATTATTTTTATACCCTCTATGCCACTGATTAACCACTCCGCATAAAAAACGGCTGTCAAAAAAAAAAAAAAAAAAAGGGATTGGCTAATGTTGACACCTAAATAAATCAAAATATTATTTAAGGAATCATTTTATGACTTGACACTAATTTTCTATGAATGGTATGGTTCTAAAAATTCTAAAAAGTTATAGGAAAACTCGTTCTTATTTCATTAAACTAAAATCTTGTTCAGCATGATTGTGACCTTTTATTGTTGCACAAAGTGAAATTTCTTTTTTTGCAAAGATAAAAGGAATCGTTTATTCTTGCAAAACTTTTTTTACATTCTCTAGCATGACAAATGAATTTTTACATTCTCTAGCATGACAAGCATAATTGCGCATTTCTTCTAACATGGCCTAAAATCTAAAGGAAAAATGCAGGATTTTTAATTAAAGTAAAGGGAATGATTTGAATTAACACATTTCCTATAGAAAAATATTTGTATGTTTTAAAGAGACCTTATCTGACAAAAAAAAAAAGACTAATGATATCTAGATTGTAAATAAAATCAAAGAGTCAAAAGACAAATCCAAAACCTATTGTTATCAAAAATATTTTAAAAAACTTTGAGTTGTAAAAAAAATATGAATAAGAGTGTGATAAAAGTTTGAGTGAAAATGAAAGCTATAAAAAAGAATAGTTTCAGTTGAGAAACTGAGCATGAACAAACATAGATAAAGACCAACAAATAAAGCTAAAAAAACCAGATTTAAAATAAAAACTATTTAAAAAAAATGCTAACAATCTTTTATATAAAAACTTACTATCTTGATCTGTTTGATAGAAAACTACATTCCCAAACACATAAACACCAAACTCATTTTTCACACCTGCTGATAACTGGTAAACAGTGTAGCTTTCTAATGAGGAAATAGCAGCTGAAAATTTTGTGAAATTATATAACATGCTAAAATTATTTGGATCTGTACACTTAACAACAAATATTGTTGATATATTCCAGATTGGTAAGACGGGATTGATAGTGACATATACTGAATATCTGTCAATGCTTTCTACTGATATAATGTTAAGACCTTAAAATATAAATAACATATACAAAAAAAAGGTAACAATTATTTTTAAACAATCTTATTTAACTTAAATATTTAAATTTACTAAAAATATAATCAAATTTAGTAATAGATTTCTTTGATAGCATTTTTTAGAGTACAAAATATTATTCAAACAAATATATTAAATAGATAAAAAAAAAATTAGTTTAATATAAGTCTGTTAAGTTGTCACATTTTTGTAACAAATAAATAGATATGACCAAATATTGTTCATGAAAACAGATAATTAATACTTTTGATCTGCTTATTTGTAACTTTTTTTTTATTATACAGTTCATTTTATTTCTCGTATTTGATTAGTATATTGAAACGTTTTACTTTTTAATACATCAGTTGATTTGTTTTTCAGCAGCCATATTCACGTCTCTCCGTTGAATTAACGGAGAGTTCAAGTGACCGTTAAGAAAAAAATTGTTAACGGGCCGTTACGAAACGGATAGAGAAAAATCGTATTTTTATCCTTCCGTTAAGTCACCGTTTATTAAACGCTCCGTTAACTTTGTCTGTTAAATTCTTTACGTTTTCCCGCTCCTTTAGCTTACTTTCGTGCCGTTTTTTACATAACAACCAAATGATGCGATGCCAACTGGCGATAATATTGTTTAAATGGTACATCACAGCGTGATTTTTTTAAATGATTGCTGCTTAACTTTTTTAACTTAATTTAAACAAGTTAAAGTAATAAGAAACTATTTTAGACTTGTACTAAGTACTTATTTTTTATATTTTTAAATTAAATTTTTTATATTTTTAGAGTTAAACTATAAATTAACACGATCAAAAACAATTGAATTGGAGTTTCACTATACTATGAAATTAAGTTACTCTATAAAACTCCATTGCTCCATCACAAATTAATAACAAATACAAAATTAATAAACCGTTTATTATTATAAAAAAGGAATTTAAAAATGAGTAAATTTATTCAAATAAATTATTGTCAAAAATGTCGCAAAGCAAAATCATCACGAAATTGGAAATTATTTTCAGCAACAATATCTTTATTATCATTTTCATCATTTTCGATTGGATTTTTATCCATGTCTCCGTCATTTAACTGTATTGCTAAATTATGCAATTCTGCGCACGCAGCAATTAAGGTACAGGTTCTTTCAGGGGTCATTCGAATTTCACCATGAAGCAAAAGAAAGCGTCTTTTCCACTTTACAAACACTTGTTCAATTATAACCTTATTTTTCTAAAAGATATACTTTATCTACGCTGAGATGCTGTAGTTGGATTTAAAAAGGGCGTGAGTAACCAAAGAAAACACGGATAGCCGGAATCACCATTAAGAGTTCTACCTATAAATTTCTTACCAAGTTTTGACTCTCTTAAAATCCTTGCATCATGTGTGCTCCCAAGGCATTTTGCAACAACATCAATGAACTTTCCTTTGTTGTCACACACCGCTTGGACATTGGTTAAATGATTCGATGACCTATCAAAATAAGCATATTCGTGCTTGTGTGGTTTCTGTATAAAAATATGCGTGCAATCTATTACGCCAGTTACGTTTGGAAATTTTGCCATTTCATAAAATTTTACTCTGCTCTCGTTTAAAACGTGTTGATTTGTTGGGTATTTGATGTATTCATTAATTCGTTTCGCTAGGCCTAAAGAAACTTGGCAAATGATTTTTGAAATAGTCGGTTGACTTAAAGCTGCTGTAGAGTCACCAACTACAATTTGAAAAGATCCTGTTGCATAAAATCGAAGTGCGCATAACACTTGCAAAATAGGGGCCACAATTAAAGTTTAGTTTGACTTTGGCTGTAAACCTATTTTCATCAAATTGGTCAAATAAAAAATAGATGTTTTACGAAACCTAAACCTTTTATATAAGTCTAAATCATCATAAATACCGAGTGGGTTGTTTCGGTCTCTAAATATTCTTTCTCATCGAGAGCTTTTTCGACAGCGATTTCTTGACGTCTCACTTCTGCGAAAACCAGTTGCATATGTATGAGTCGGGGCATTATGAAATATAAAAGCTTACTATACGATGGAAATATATTGAATACTCTTTAATCTATAAGTTCTTAATGTTAATGCTTTTAGATTTACTTCAATTATATATAATTACATACTTAACAAATAAGCAGCACCGACTCATTACAACTTCATTATTTTCTGGCAATATTTAACAAATAGCATGGCAGTGATAAATATTTGCTAATTATTTTTTGGCAATGTTTAATGAATACCATCATAGTAACAAACATATTTTAATCGTTTCTTATCAGTGTTAAACAAATACCGTCATAGTATTTACAAAGGAATCCAGACAACAAATAAGGCATGGTAACTTGAAACTTCATTTTAATTACTTAACAAATTTGTTAAAAATTGTGTAAAATGCTTTATTTTAGTTATACAATTGATTGTTAATAGTTATATCAAAATATCAAAAACACAATAAAACTACCAACTGTACCCAATGTGTACCAGCTGTAAAAACTCTAAAGAAACGTGCACACAGAGGAAAAGTCTATTAGACAGAAGAGAAATGGTTTTTGGTAGCGAAATATAAAGAGCATAAAGAGATTCTTCTGTCAAAGGATGGAAAAAGTGGAGATTAGTTAGCGAAGAAATCTTATATGGAATCAGGTAATCTTTTTTATTATATTTATTGAAAGAAAAAAATACTCATCAATTATAAATAAATTATTACATACTTTTCAGATCATCGATGCTTTAAACAACTTAGGATACGATAAAAGAACAGTTTAGAGCGTGAAAAGTTTGTGGGATAATCTTCTAAAAACTGCAAAAAAAGAGATTTCTGCAACAAAAAAAATTTCAACTGGAGGAGGCCCAGCAGTTATTTTATCAGGAATGAACCAGAAAATATTAGCTATATACGGGGAAGAATCTCCAATATTTTTAGGGTTGGAAGGTGTGGAAACCAATGACATTGAGATTGTATCGGATGTAGAGATTTCCGCCATGCCAGTTGTGATTGATGTTACAAGTTGTGCAACTCCAAACACTGTAACTGCAGAAAGTGACAACGGAAATAATTTAGGACAAATCAAACATTCTAGTAATCACGAAAAATCTGCTTCAGGAACAAGGAAAAAAAGAACTCCAGCTCTACACCTGTTAACTGTCGACATGGAGAGTTACATTACAGAGGAGAAGTTAAATCTTAAGGAAGAAGTTTTAAAGCTACATGCTGAAAGAGATTATTTCATGTCTAAAAAGAAGTTAGTCAAATTGGAAAAAAAAATGCATCTATAAAAGAAAAAATACTTTTATTAAAGGAAAAAAAAATACTTTTATTAAAAAATCAAAACGAAGAATGTTTAATTATTAAATAATCAAATTTCAATTTATTGTTGATTATTTCGAAATTATTTTTATATAATATTATGAACAAATGAAATAAATTTTTTTAATTTTTCATTTGCTTAAGAATAAATATAATTCTTTTTTCCAATTTTATGTCCATTTGTCTCTAATTCGGATTCTTACCCAATTTTTATGTTCTTACAATACTGATTAATTAATTTTTTATTAAACTTGAAGATTTAAAAATGAAAAAAAAAAAATAATTAATATGAATATATTTTCAGAAAATCATTGAAAATTAAAAAAAACATGCTCTGTAAATATATTTGTTTAAAAAATGTAAACTTAAAAAGAAAAGTTAAAGTTGTTTAATAAAAAGAACCTAAGTTTCCAGATACTTTCTGTTGAAAAATTGCTAAAATTATTATTAGTTATGGTTAATTGATCTCCATGTTGTTTTGCTTTTGAGATGTTGTTTCGAATTTGTATATTCAAATCAGCTACCGTTAACAAAATAATTTTTTTTTCAAAAACAATAACAAATCATAACCAAAGATCTTAAACTGTTTCTTTTGTGCTTATAAATTTCATATGAACACGATTCTGCCCAAAATTTTATCTTTTCTGTTTCATTATCATTAAATGTTCGATGTCATTTAATATTCCAACATCAGTTTACATGATTTTGCATCTGCTTCCACAACTTCAATGTTTTACTTCAATGCTTAACTCCCATTTTATACCTAAATCACTTATAATTTAGGTATAAAATATTATATGTATATATATACATATAACATATATATATATATATATATATATATATATACATATATATATTTATATATATTAATATATATTTATATTTATACATATGTATATATATATAAATATATATATATATATATATATATATATACATATATTTATATATTAAACGTATATATATATATATATATATATATATATATATATACATATATATATATATATATATATATATATATATATATATATATATATATATATATGTATATATATATATGTATATACTTATATATATATATATATATATATATATATATATATATATATATATATATATATATATATATATATATATATATATATGTATATAAATATATATATATATATATATATATATATGTATATACTTATATATATATATATATATATATATATATATATATAAATGTATGTATATATATATATATTTATATATATATATATATATATATATATATATATATATATATATATATATATATATATATATATATATATATATATATATATATATATATATATGTCTATATATATATATATATATATATATATATATATATATATATATATATATATATATATATATATATATATATATATATATATATATATATATATATACACATAAGTTTGCGATTTATAGTACGTGCATTAAAAACAATATAAATAAAATGTTGCGATTTCATTATTTCATGTGATAATACAACATGTATTTTAAAGTATAATAATAATAAATAAATAATGTCTAATCTAATAAATGTCTAATTAATATACATTAACGATTTAATGATTGAAGAATAAATTATATAAATATTGTATAGTTTATAATATAACTTATTTAGCCTAAAATTAAACTTGTTTGGTTGTATGTAACACAAATAATAATTAGTTTATTCAGCTATTATTGATGAGAAAAACTCAACATATTATTTTGTTTGGATAGCATTTTTAATATTTTAGAAAATCTCTGCTTTCGGTTTTAACTGTAGGGTATAGCAGAGTAAGATTTTACCATTAACTATTGTCCGTTAACTTTATTATAACTGATCGGAGGACACGAGAATACGAATTTATATAAACTCTGACGTTAAAACTGCCGTTAAATTTTAACCCAGCCGTTAGCTTAACGCAGGGTTTAACGGAGAGATGTGAATACGGCTGCAGAGCGATTGGAGAAAACAAATGCTATTAAAAAAAAATTGTTATAATTATATAAATATAAACTTACTATCTTGATCAGTTTGATAGAAAACTACATTCCCAAACTCATAAACACCAAATTCGTTTTTGACACCTGCCGAAAACTGGTAAATAGTGTAGCTTTGTAATGAGGAAATAACAGCTGAACCATTTGTGAAACTATATAACATGCTAAAGTTATTTGGATCTGTATACTTAACAAAAAATATTGCTGATATATTCCAGATTGGTATGAATGGATTGATAATGACATTTACTGAATATCTATCAATGGTTTCAATTGATATAATGTTCAAATCTTAATATATAAATAAGATATTCAAAAAAAAGGTAATAATCAATTTTAAACAATTTAGTTAACTTGTATATTTTAATTTACTAAAAATAAAACCAAATAAAGTTTATAGGTGTCATTGATAACGTTTTTTAGATTATGAAATTTTTATTCAACTTAAAAGATTAAATAAATAAAAAATAAATTTGTGTGATATTAGGTCTGTTAAATTGTCACATTTTTGTGACAAATAAATAGATATGACCAAATGTTGTTTATCAAACAAATAATCAAAGTTTTTGATCTGCTCATTTGTCACTTTTTTCTATCAGATAAGAATATAAGAACAAATTACTTTTAATGAACCTGTTTAACTGTTTTTTAGAGTAATAATAGAGAATATACACTATTTAGAAAAAAAAAAATTTCAATTTTTTTATTTAAACTTACCATCTTTATCTGTTTGATAGAAAACTACATTCCCAAACACATAAACACCAAACTCATTTTTCACACCTACCGATAACTGGTAAACAGTGTAGCTTTGTAATGAAGAAATAACAGCTGAACCATTTGTGAAATTATACAACATGCTAAAATTAGTTGGATCTGTATACTTAACAACAAATATTGTTGATATATTCCAGTTTGGTATGAATGGATTGATAGTGACATTTGCTGAATATCTGTCAATGCTTTCAACTGATATAATATTCAGATCTTGAAATATAAATAACATACAAAAAAAGGTAACAATTAATTTTAAACAACCTAGTTAACTTGATATTTAAATTTACTAAAAATAAAATCAAATTAATTGAGAAATTTTCATTGATTGCACTTTTTAGATTACAAAATATTATTTAAACAAATAGATTAAAAAATGAAAAAAATTGATTGAGTAAGAAGTTACGGTATTTAACAAATTTATCTTTTTAACAATATTATTTATTAACATTATTGTAAATGCATTGATACGTTTATCAAAATAATTGCAATTAAAATAGTCTTTTAAAACACTAAATCAAAAGTTATTTATTTTTTTATGACCCTTTGTGCGTAAATGATTTAGACATTTTATTACGTAAATTTTGTCAAATAGAAAACCTAATTAAAATAAGTCACAAATATAAGTTTTTTAACATTACTTTACACCTTTTTTTTAAACTGAAACTACCTATTAAGTATAACCAATTTAGACGTATTTTAGTTACTAATGATGTAACTAAAATACGTCTAAATTGGTTATACTTAATAGGTAGTTTCAGTTTAAAAAAAAGGTGTAAAGTAATGTTAAAAAACTTATATTTGTGACTTATTTTAATTAGGTTTTCTATTTGACAAAATTTACGTAATAAAATGTCTAAATCATTTACGCACAAAGGGTCATAAAAAAATAAATAACTTTTGATTTAGTGTTTTAAAAGACTATTTTAATTGCAATTATTTTGATTATCTAGATTAAGTTACGTTACATTACGCCTCAATTGGTTACTGTAAAAAGTTAAAAAAACAAACAATTGAGACGTAGCGTTTTGAATTGGGACTATTTTTTTTTTTTGTGACCGTGTAATCAATTGAGATGAAGCTGTTTTACAATAAAATAAAATAAAAGATGATATTTAGCAATACGGCAATGATAAACAAACAATTACCGAGTAATCATGTATATTCACCTAATATATAGTTAAAAGTTAGATAATGTAACCATATTACCAATTGTAACCAATTTAAACATAACTTAAGTTTAAAATACTACAGGAGTACTCTGATAATTGGACCATCATCTCAAGTTAAAACAAGTTCTTTGGCATTTATTAGTTCTTTATGTTTGTCAACACCTTGCAAGAAGCAATGGTCGTATCATCTTACACAATACACATACTGTATTATCAAGTTCATTTACTTAATATTTGATTAAAAATTAGAGAATGTAACCATGTTACCAATTGTAACCAATTGAGATGTAAAGTAACTTTAAAGTATTATAGAAGATATATATACACACATATATATATATAGGGCTCTGAATAATATTTTTGTATCGGACAATATCTCTAATAAAGCAGTGATATTTAAACTAATGTTAAGTAAAATTAGAAGTAAAAATAATTAATTTCGTTAATGCGAATAAAATTAGGATTTATTTGAAGAACGAAAACTGAAATAGAATTGAATATCAACATCAGAAACAAAAATAGTAGTTTAATTTTTATTATTACTGAAAGAGAATAATTGAATTCAAAAGTAAATTTCAACAAAAAAGTTTTTTATGACAAAATAATTACACTTCCTTTATTGTTGTTGCACATGTCTGACCACCAAGCTGGTCACGTGCTCTTAGGCTTGTTTCCCATGCTTTTATACAAAAGATTAAATGTATAGTTGATGTAAGAGTCAAACTATTAAGTCAACAATACATTATTTTTTGTTACAAAAAATATAAACGTTTTAAGACACTATAGAGTTGATAAAATGAATGAGATGATGAAAATATAAATAGTGATAAAAGCTTTTATGAAACTAAATATAAATATGTGATTGAAATCAAGCGTGTATTTTCTTACAATTTCAAAGCAAATCTCATCTTAAATCAATTGAATAATCAAATGACTGTTTTAAAACTATTGTTTGATTATTTATATTGTATTATATTATATTAGGAAATTGCCTTAATATTAATGTCTTGAAATTTTGATAATGATACTTAACAAGTTAATTTCCTGTTAAAGTTTCCATAAAAAAAAACAGATAGAAGTAAAATATTAACTGAATTAAGAACTGTAATAAAAAGTGAAATTGTTGAAATCATAAGACCTGAACTGAAATTATTTTTAAAAGAACTGATTTAAAACTGAAATAGGAATAATTTTATAACTAAAATTAGAATTAGAAATTAAATCAACGCCACAAAAACTGAATAGAAACTGAAATAGAAACTACATTTCAAACTTAAATATCACTGCGATATAGACTCAAGTTTGCTGTCCGATAATTGCTGTCCGCTGCTGTCCGAACATGTCCGATAAAAATTAAAAAGTGAGATCAAACGCCATTTTTGACCATGCATAAAATATTTTGTTTTTACAACTTGACCACACAGTACCTTATCTAACAAAAAAGAAAATCTTAATAAAAAAAAAAAAAAAATACAGGCTCAAAAAACTTAAAAAAAGAAATTTGTTTAAATTATGTTTTTAAAAAACTAGTATACTAATCAAAATGCTTTGTAAATAGTTTATTACACAAAGTATTATGAAAATATATTAAACACTAGTGTTGTGACCTAAACTAAAAATTGTAACTAACTAAACTAAAAATACAGTAACTAAAATTACCTGACTAACATTTTAGTTAACTTAAATTAGTCGACTAACTTTTTAGTTAACTAAAATCAGTCGACTAACTTTTTTGTTAACTAAAATTACCCGACTAACTTTTTAGCTAACTGAAATTACCCGACTAACTTTTTAGTTAACTAAAATTACCCGACTAACTTTTTAGTTAACTAAAATTACCCGACTAACTTTTTTGCTAACTAAAATTACTCAACTTATTTTTTAGTTAACTAAAATTACCAGACTAACTTTTTAGTCTAACTAAAATTAGCCGACTTATTTTTTAGTTAACTAAAATTACGAGACTAATTTTTTAGTTAACTAAAATTACCCGACTAAATTTTTAGTCTAACTAAAATTAGCCGACTAACTTTTTAGTTAACTAAAATTAACCGACTAAGTTTTTAGTTAACACAATATACCCGACTTTTTTTTTAGTCCAACTAAAGAAATTTATAAATTTATAATATAAATAATTTGAGTTCATGATATCATTTCTATTAGAATTTTTAAATAAGATTGCGAATGCATAATCATTTTACCGGATAATACCGCAAAAATAAAAAAAAATCAAAATAATTTTCTTTTAATATTCAGTGACAAAGGTACCAGTGTATCAAGATACTTCAAGAAAATATTATAAACAAGATACTTCAAGAAAATATTTCATAAAAAATCCAAAAAGTAAACATGGTAAAACACAAATATCTTTAGAATGAATAAGCTACCAAGACCATCGCAAAGGGGTGTGGGATGGGTTGGTTAGTTTTGTGTGTGACATCCCATCAATGAACTTTTAGCTCATTTAGCAAGCTAATTTGATTCTTTTAGATAAGTAAGTCGGCAAATGTAGATCAAAAAAAATTAAGTTATCATTTGACAATGAAGATGATGATTCCGGAAACGATAGTGACAAAATAATAAGTTTAGATTTAAAAAAAGAAATTAGTGGTTATATAAAATTTTCACTAAATGACCAAAATGTTTTTACACTTTTGGCATCAAAATTAATATGTATTTCCAATATTGTATTGTATTTCAACAATGATTTTATGTACGCCTGCTACCAGTGCACCAAGTGATCGCCTTTTCTCTGATTAAACACTTATACATGCAAAGCGAAACCTATTCCAACTTATACTTACGTATGCAAAGCGAAACAGAATAACAACTGAATGTTTTCAAGTATTGATGTTTTAGTATGAAGATTTGGAATTTTTTAATTTAGTTTAAATTCATTAAACTTAATACTGAAGTTTTTTCTTGTAATAAATATTTTTTAATCCATTTTACGGTTCTTAAAGAAATATTATTCAATTTAGTATTCGAGCTCTTTTGTGTAAAACTTATTTTTTTTTTTGATACAAAAAATTAAAAAATTAATATAGTTTTTTAAATTTAAAATGTGTTTAAAAAAAAAAAAAAAAAAAAAAAATTGAAAACTAAAAAAATTAATGTGTGATTTTAATGTTCTTGAGTGAGCAGTTTCATCATAATGTTGCCTAAAACAGCAAACTTTTTTTTTTACCTTTATTATTTAAATAGTTTGATTTTTTTTTTTTAATATTTATTTATATTTTCTTTAGTATTTTTTTAAACATCTATCTAATAAAAAAATATAAAAATAAATATAATAAAAAAGTATAATTTAATACATTTTATACACTATTCAACAACTTATATGCATTCTAAAATGCAAATAATTTAAATTTTGCAAATACCGCCAACCGACGAACAACTATACTCTGAAACAATAAATATATTCGTAATAACTCATTTAATGATTAACTTTTGGGTTCATGTCAATACTTTCGCCTGCCTAACAAAAGTGGTTGCGGGTTATAATAGTCGTTAGGAGAGGTTGATATTTGAAGGGTGGTGAGAGGGAGTCGTAGGTTTGTTGTAAAAATTATAGTTGAAATCCATTCCTATAGTATGGAAGGGGACAAGGCTGTACTGAAAACGAAGACGTAGGGGTAGGGGATGCAAATAAAATAAGCTGTTTTACCATAAAAACTTCACCAAAGTACAGCTTTTTTTTATTTAAAAGTCAAATTGCAGTTTTAACCGACCGAGTCTCAAATTTTCCAAATTACCGACAAAACCGACAGAATGTTGTAACCCTGGGAAGGTGCACATACACACATCGGTACGGCGTTGGCAGGGGAGATTATTTTTGATGTGCAAATATTATTAAACACTACCTATAGGCAGCACATAAAAATATAAATTAAACGTTCAATAAGCGTACCAAATTTGATTTAATTGACTAAAGGGCATTATTTGTATATTCAATGCTGATTAGGTGTTTATAAACAGTTGCAACAACTTCATAGGCAGTTGTCTCCGAGCTGGGAAAAAATAAAAATAATCGAATTTTGC